GAGCTGTCCCACTTTGAGAGAAGCGCCGAAAATGGGGAGAGCCAGTCGGAGAGGGAAGAACTGGGCTATCCGGCTGGCCACCCTTTGGATGTACCTCTTGGACCTGGATACCCTAATTATCCCATTCCACAGTATGATCTGGGTGGATTCTGGGGTTATCCTTATCCCTACTTTGACTACAGGTTCCTGACTGGCCAGTACCCACCTGGCACAGTCAGCCACTTCAGTCACAACTATGAGCAGGGCAGAGACTTCTGGCAAGACAATCACTACTTGAAAGAACATGCTCTGCCTACTCCCCTTCCTGGCCAGCAGGTCGCATCCTTCCCAGGGGACTTTGCAGGTCCCCAGAACTTCAGGGACTCCAGACCCCCTGTGACTTTGCCTGGTTATAGACCAGGTGGGGCTGGGCAACCTGGTTCTGCCCACAGAGTTTTCACGTAGGTATGTTGGCAAAACTATCTACAAATGCCAACATGTACATCTTTTAACTTGGACTAATGTTGCACTCTTGTCTTTCAGGCTGGATACTAAGCGATGAATGTCAACGGCATAAACGTGCATTTCAGTCCTTTAATAAACCTTATAAATTCTACACCTTTAAGATTTGTTACTCTGGGAAATGGTGCTTCTGAAAATTACACCAAGTCTACATTTCTTGGTCAAAAGCTGTAATGAAACTGTAGCTGCAAAATGCTGAATGCACCACGGCCCAGTGATTTAGACTTACATTTGCAACATGGGAAATTCTTAAACTTTCTCTATGGTTTGTCAGACATCATGCCACAAGAACTGAGGGCACTGCATCTTCTAAAAAGATGAGATTTGAAATAAATCACGACAGTGGTGCAATGCTAGTGCTGCAAAGATTTGACAGTGATGTTATTGCATGTTAAAGAACAGTGACCTGATCAAACTGTGCACTCTTTAGCTTTAGCAGGTTTCAATGCATCAGACTGCAAGGATGCAAATTTGGTGTCAAGCAGTTCTGGGGAAACTAGACAGTAATATGGACACTGATATTAAACTTGTAACTGTTAGTTTCCAATAAACATCAATTTGTTCTGACATAAAAATGACTATGGACTGACTTTGCATTGAATATAGATCCAAATGCTATCCTGAGCTGCCAAGAGTGTTCAAATCACATGAGTTTCAGTTTACTTTGGTCAAATCTAGTTTAAATAAGTATATAAACCTTTGGTTTGTTAATCACAAACCTAACAACGGAAAAACAAAATGCTGCTTCATTTAGATATAAGTTTTTGTTTTTTTGCCCCCATGTTCTGAGACATAAAAATACCAAGAAGGCCAAGTTCACGTTTGAAACTTGGATCAAGATTGTGCATCTAAAATCACACCTTGACCTGCAGGCCTTATGGCACACTGGTGACTTGTGGAAATCAATAGCTTTTCAGCTCAAGGACAGCACAATTTAAGAAAAAAGGGACTGGAGCACATAGATTAATTCACATTTTTTAATTGTGCAAACACACTAAAGTTTCAACATTTCTGTGTCTTCAAATTGACAAATGAAATGATAGAATAAATAGTGGGAGCTGCCAAACTTGATCTAAAAACCACACCATCAAGTTAGAAACTAAGAAACATAAACCACAAAGTTACTGAGATAACTATAACTCAAATAATGCTAAATATTTAACCAACTATACCTCAGCTTTAGCAGCAACAACAATCTCTCCTCCAGCCTGTTCCATTACTAAGTAAAATTTGTAAAGAGTACCACAAGTTTGGTGCTATTTTTTTCCTCTGACTCATCTTTTGATGCTCAGGTAACCAAAGTGGTGCAGTTTGTCTTTTCCCAGCTAAGATCAGGTCATTCCTCTCTTCTGCAGACTTAGAAAATGCTATCCATGTTTTCATTTCCTCCAGTACACTTTATTCTAGCATCAGCAAACGAAACATGCAAAGACTGCAGTTATTTCAAAATGCTGCTGCTGATTTTTAACACGCTCTGAGAAAAGTGACTTTATCACAATAATCTTAGCTGCTTTTCACTGGTTACAAGAGCGTTTCACAACTGATTTTAAGATCTTACTGCTTGTTTTCAAAGCCTTGAATGGTCAGGCTCCTGTTTACTAGAATATCTGTGATCTGCTGACCTACTAGGCCTCATCACTGCCTGAGAACCTCCAACAGGACCCAACTGATGTTTCCAGCCTCGGCTTGTCACTAAAGGTGTGCGAACCCTCAGTTGTGGAACTCTCTGTCCTAAGATCTCAGACGTTCAAACTCAGCATCCTCTTTCATAACTTTTTTTTTTAAGACTCATCTTTAATATATGGCTTATTCTTAATTGGTGTAATATGTAATGTAGAATATCTCATGATGTTTTACATTTTGAATCTTATCTGTTTTTTTGTAAAGGCCTTTCTAACTACACAGAGAAAGGTATTCTTATTATACTGAAACACTTTCAGTTCTCTGCATTTGTGATTTACTCTGAATTATCAGGTGTCAAACTGACTGTAATGTCAGTTATAAACCTAACAAGGACAAAAAATGACAAAAAAAAAAGGTTAAGAAGTTCCAATTCACATTTGGACAGTGGATGAATACGTACAGAAGTGGAAGGATGAATTTGCATATGGATATGTACCCAAAACAAATCACTTTAAGGTCAAACAGTTTCATTATCTCTGTCTCATCCTTGTTTGATCAAATGTTTCTGACTATGTGCTTTGCTATGTGGGACTGTGAAAAACAACAACACCTCGTAGCAGGATGCTACCACTTTCAACGTGGTAGTTCAGATGCAGGAGACAAAAGGAAATGTGGTTCAACTCAAAATAGAACAAGGTATATTCAAGAAAGCCTCTGTTTTGGACAGACATGTACGATCACTTCAGAGGACATCACATTGATTTACATTCATTTCCTGGAGCCTTCCTAACTCTAACGATGGCCACAACTTGCCTGAACCCAACATTTAACATTTACCTTAAATTAAGCCTTCTGCCTAAAAAGGTAATGATTTACATGATGGTGACTTGCTTTTTGTCCCAGAATAGCAAATTGAGTCCCCATAATTTGGCCGTGAAAATACATTCTTGCCCCCACAACATCGACCCAAACATCCTTAGATAAGTGAGAATGTGACTGGGACTTGACTGCAAGTAAAGACAACAATTTGAAGTGATCCTTCAAAAATAACAACAACAATAATCATATAGCAGCTTTAACATGCTACAGACCCACACACGTTTCATCTATTACAATTTTATTGTATTAGCAGCCTAAATGTAAAAAGCTCAACTGCTGCTCTCCCCCATTTAAAATAATCAAACCCTCTGGTTCCACAAACATCCAAGGTGCAACAGTTGTGCTTTAGTGGTTCGAGCCTTGAGTCTGAGCTACACAAGAAGGCGCTGACATATTTATAGCCCCCAAGACATAGACAGAAGGGAGGAGGAGATAATGACAGACAGAGTGGGAATAAAGATAGACCTTTATTTATAAAACCATCTGGTTCGTGTTGAATGAGTAGCGTTCTGCTGGGATGGCAAGCTGAGAAGTTAGGCTATAGTCTTGTATAACCATGTTCCCACTTTATGCCATGTGCACGCTTTAGACTGTAAAGTGGTTAGATGACAAGAAATAGATGAGGTAATAATTTGTAGAGAAGCCAGATAATGGGCAAAGAGAGTGAAAGGAGAGCACAGATAAATATAAAAGGACAGTAAGTGTCAGCTTCCATTTTTAAATATACTTTATTCCATTGAAGGCAACTAAAAATAGAAAATGAGAGCAAGCAGATGGTAAAGTTTCATTTCAGTTGTTTTACTTCTTGGCATCATCCCATCTGGTACTAAAACTAAAATAACAGAAATAATATTATATAAAAGTGAAACAATTTTTAGGTTAAAAAACAAAACATAACTGTATAATGTATAATTTAATATAGCCAATTTCAGCAGGTCTTTAAACAAGTAGATCATGTGTTAACTACTGGATAGCTGAAGATCTTCTTGATCCACATGTCCTTTTGTTGCTCATGTTGCCGTTTTTTTCACTGTGGGCTCATTTTCACTGCAATATAAAGTGTTGCACCTCTATGGAAACAACACAACAATAGCTGGAAGTAGAGAGAACTTAGAAAAGTACTCTGTGCAGTATGATAGTCATAGTGCCATCAATAAAATAAAATAAAAAAACAAACAAAAACAAAAGAAAATTCTTTAATTATTTTACCAAAAAAAGAGAAAAAAGGAAAGAAATTAACTTGTACAGTATATTCCAAGTGCCCACAGGTGTCACCAGTCTGAGGGAAAAAATGTGGGCTCCATGTGCTACAGATATTTTAGATTATCCATTTGTTTCTATATACTTGCCCAATGTGTTATGTGTAAGCACAGCCTGCAGTTCAGCCCAGTTCAGCTGAAAAATCACATATTTTATCACATGTATGTTACAGCCGAGTCACGACTCTAAGCTGTTTTTGTTGTTGTTGTTTTTTACAGAATCTAGCTGTTACGAATAGTTTATGTTTGGAGATTTTTTTCTAAATGTGATTTTGATGAAATATCACGATTTTGAGCTTAGATGTGATGATTTTTCTCAGGGGAAGTGCATGCCACTGTTGAGCAGTTCAAGGACTTTCAGAAAGTGGAAAATCTAATGAATTCTTTCTGTTTTTGTAGTTTCTTGCTTAAAGAAATTGTGTTGTTTTGAGGATTTTTAAAACAATAACCTGCCCTTCTAACAAACCAGCAGGTTTGGGGTTGAGGGGGCTAATATCAAGGCTTATACACAGATCCTTTAAGTGTTGAGCTATTTCTTGGTGAGTGTTATAACTTTTCACTTCAGGCAGCCACTGATAAGAAATACACACATTTTTGTAATCGTAGATAAACTGGATCCTTCTTTATTGAGCTCCAAAAGTGTGATACTTTGAATAATGCCAGGCTTGCTTTTTCCCCTGTTTCTCGTCCTTACTGGATGTGTACTAGTCAGTGAAAGACTAGGAGACATCCATATTATGTCTCGATGTGTCATATGACAGAACAACCACGTTTAACGGATCCATGCACGGAACCACATGTGCATACGTGTGTGTACAAACACGGTTTCCACAGCAGACGCAGCTGTCCGGCCCGTAGGACCGAGCCTATGTCACTGTAACTCTATTTTAGGACCCCGTGTTGTTCAAAAGGTCAGATAAAGAAGCGTAGGAATCCTCGCAAAGCTGTGGGTGGGGGTGTCGGGTTGAGGGAGGGTGAAGGCGGATATCCACAAACCAACACACACATCACAAACACTGAGCAGAGCTGACAGAGAGGGGGAGAAAGGGAGACACGGACAGGGAGGCAAAGTCTGGTAGTGAGAGGCCACGAGGACAATAAGTTGAGCTTCTGTGAGGAGGGTTCACCTTTGGCTGAATGAAAAGGGAAGGAAGAGGAGATCGTTTAGGAGTCCAACAGAAAGTCTGATCTGACCTTCGAGCCAGTTGACGCGCAGACATTTGTGGACATCATGGACGGAGAATCGTCCAGCGTTGAGACATCTACAGAGAGTCAGACTGACACCAACAACAACAACAGCCAGGTATGTGTATTTTTCATGCTAAATTGTGGCAAAAAAAAAAGTTTTCCCTTTTATAAAACCCTCAATGACGAGCATTGTGTTCCATACCAGGAATAGGCGGTAAGAGTATTTGTGGCCGTGGCAGGTGTTGTGTTTGGACAGCCGGACGGGAGATGTGATTCTGGCTGTATTAGCTGTGCTACACCTGTTCTGCTGAAGAATGACTCACACACAGACACACAAGTTATGCAAAGTAACGCACGGTGGAGTTTCCTATTCCACCTGATGAGTCACTGCTGCAAGGCCTGACCTGGTTTGACTGTCGGTCATTAACAAACAGGGTGCATGGGCATATTTAATACTGATATTGAAATACACACACATTTAAATATAAATGTTGACCCTTTGAAACTAAGTTACATCGTAGTGCAATACAGTTGTAAAACACGCCCTGATTCAGAAACTAAGGCTTTTATTTTTGAAAATTGAGTGATTTTACATTTACAGTACATTATTTTGATTTATGATCAGGCTTTAGTAAGATTTGCTGAGGACGTTCACTTCTTTTTACGTGTATAATGTGACTTAAAAACATCAAAAGTCTTACTTACTATCTGGATGTTTAAGCTCTGCCTGTTCTACATACCTGAGATGCTCATTAAATCCCAGACTGGAGCTTCAGGGCTCACATTACGAGGACCATGTTATCCCTCGAGTAATGTGTGGACACTAATTTTAGTAGTCCTGCATCTTACATAATGTTACTGTTCAAACAGAGGCAGTGCTTCTAATTATTTCAAATAAACTTGCCACTAATTTAACCTTCTTTGTGTTTGAAATCAATTAAATCTAAATTTATCTCTGCAGTTAAACTGGTGCAGAACAGAATGTAGTTCAACTCATGTTTGTCCTTTATTATTTTTGTCATTTATTTTTAGTATCTCTGTTTGATTACTGACAGGCTTTGCAAACTTTCTTGGCTGAGAGAAACAGAAAAACTTTTCTTTACAAACAGTAAAGGTGCGAATGACAGAATGAAATGTGGAAGTTGCTGGTCTGAGTCACACTGACGAGAAAACACGTGATTTAGAGCCGCATATACCGACTGACAACAAACATGTTGCAATTATTTAAAGACTGAAGTGAGATGCTTCATTCAATCAACATTTAGAAAACTCAGAAATATCCAGCTATTGATTTAGTCTTCCCTCTGGCTGCTCTGTTCAACCAGAAGCGGACAATTTTTAAAGAACGTTGCCCAATATTGTCTTTGTATGTTTGTATAATTCTAAAATATAGACACACTGAAGTTGATGCCATGTCTACAAACACACATGTATAAAGTTAAGGTTAACATTATGGAGTACCATATCTGTATGTTTCTGTTTTTATCCAGGCGAGTGAGTCAGGCCTGGTGGAGAGTAAAGACCAAGTGGAGACAGCAGAAGGTCAGGGGGTAATGGAGGTGGTGGAGAAGGGGGAGACGGGTGAGAAGGAGGAGGAAGATATAGTCCCAGAACAGTCAGGAGAAGAAAAGGCCAACGATGGAGATACAAACAAGTCCCAGACCATGTCACAGCCTGCTGAAGGTGACGCTGAAGAGACCAGACAAGATAATGACATAACATCCTCTGGTGTTGAGGCGAAGGAGTCTGAAACGACAAGTGGAGTAAAAGATGGGAATGAAGAGGTGGAGGAAAACAAGAAAGGAGGGCAGGTGGAGGAGGTCCAGAGTGCTGAGACTGGGAGAGATAAAGAGGAGGTGAAGGACAAAAACAAAGACAAAAAGAGGAGTAAATGTGAGAAAAATGCAAAAGAAGAAGAGAAAGATGTGAATGAAAAAGAGGCAAATGGGGAGGAGAATAAGAAACAAGCCAAAGAGGTTGACGCAGAGACAAAAGATAAAGGAAAGACTAAGGAGGCAGAAAAGCAAGGGAAGCCCAAAAGAAAGACTGGTCCTCCTGCTTCTTCTCTTTCCCGACCGAGAGCCTCTGCACGCTCTATTAGAGCATCTGCTAAAAACGACATTATCGCCAAGTTTCAACAAGGAGCACCGGAGTGAGTCGATGTTATGAAACCACATACCTCCACTATGTTTACCAATGAAATATGGTTCAATAAAGGTCTAATTAAATCGTGTAATATTGTGACATTTTCAGGACACCAATGCCTCGCAACTTCAAAATTCAGAGGTCATCTGGTGCCATGGCAACAGGAGCTTCAATCAAACAGAAGATGCTTCAGTGGTGTCGCAACAAAACTCGCAACTATGAGGTGAGTTTGACACTAACTCTTTACCTGATGTGTCAGATCCATCTGGTTTGTTTTTTTAAACATGAGATCACAGAACTAAGAAGCAGAATACCTGGATGATGATGTGTTTTTCTCTGCGTCACTGCTGTCTCTTGATCTTTTTAGGGCGTCAACATAGAGAACTTCTCATCGTCCTGGTGCGATGGAATGGCCTTCTGTGCTCTGATCCATCGTTTCTTTCCAGACGCTTTCGACTATAGCTCACTGAATCCAGGCGAGAGGGAGAAAAACTTCACTCTGGCCTTCGAGACTGCAGAGTACGGACCCTCTCCTACATTTGTGACAACACAAAGACATTTAATACCAACACAGTTAGACAATTAAATGCATTTAAAGTGCTGGTACTGTACATACAACACAATCGGGAAAACTGCAGTGGTAAGAACAGGGGTAAGTCAAAATGCTATGCTGAAGAAGGAACCAAGACGGAGTGAATTGGGTGCATATCATGACAATGCATCAAATCACAATGTGAATATGGTTGCTCGTTGTGATAAATCTACAGAGAATTAAACAGCAAACAGACACAATTGGTGACTAACTGGTGAACATAGTCGAGAATTTGGCAGATGAAAACCCAGGTAATTCCTACACTTGGATTAATCATACCTCCTAATTATAATGATGCTCACAACTGCTAAATATGTAAATAGGCAACTGTTTGAGAAAATATTTGCCATTTTGAAAAGTCACATTATGTCAACTTATGTATTCATAGATTGCACCAACCTCAAGAGCCCAGAAAAATCACTTACTGCAACTTTAAGAGTGCTTCTTAAAGTGCTTTGGGTACCACTAAGGTAGAAAAGTGCTATCTAAGTGCAGACCATTTACCATTTTTACAAACTGGAGAAATAAAAACTTGTTCTACTAGCATCTATTCTTTTAAATCTGTATTTTACTGAAAGGAATTATGCCAAATTCCTTTGAAAATGGTTTGAAGTTTCTATGTTGGATTTAACTTTGTGTGAAAAATAATGGTTTCAAAAAGGAGGATTTTATTCACTACTTTGATTCTTGTTTCACAATTTACATTCCCACACAGACAAATCAGAGTAGCTTAGAAATCTCTCATCTGTTTAGGTTGCTGCTAAACTAAGTTATCTCCTTTCTTTCTTTCTTTCTTTCTTTCTTTCTTTCTTTCTTTCTTTCTTTTTCTTTTTCCCTGTCAGGTCCCTGGCTGACTGCTGCCCTCTTCTGGAAGTGGGCGACATGATCATGATGGGTAACAACCCAGACCCCATGTGTGTGTTCACATATGTCCAGTCCCTCTGCCACAGCCTCTCCAAGATCGAGAAAGAGAGGAAGGACAAAGAGAAGGAAGAGAAGGAGAAGGCTGGTAACGAGGGAGGAGAGGAGGCAAAAACAGACGAGGTGTCAAAGGAGAAAGACGAGGAAGAGTCTGCTGAGAGCGAGATGATGGACAGACAAGAGGAGAAACAAGGAGACAGTGTAGAGACAGAAGGAACTGATCAGCTGGAAGATGCACCACAGAGTGGTGAGATGGAGGAAGGCGAGCAAGCCTTAGTCGAAGCAGAGTCCTAGAAAAATACTGACAAATAGACTGAAAAGACCAAAAAAGGTTGTTGATGGTACGACAATGAGTAAGTCTTAGTTTGGAGCTGGATCGACTACTGTCACAGTAACGAGGCACATGAGGTTGACTCAAATGCTGGCAATTTCCAGTTACAGTATGTTTGAAAGTGTACTATGCTGTGTTTTTTTATTCACTGCTGTGTTGTTGTCTATGTTTGTTTTGAGCACATAAAGCAGAAACGCTCAGTTCCTCAATTTGCTGTGTGTTCAAGAATAAAATGATGAACTTCAAAGTTCTATGCGAAACCGAAAAACCTTTGTGTTGAGAGGATTGAGTTCAATTCAAATTCAAATTCAGATTCAATTAATTTAAAGTCAGTATTATCTATATAACACTAATTCCCAACATATGTCATCTCTTGCCTGATAAGGGAAGTCTGTACAATATCATACAGAGAAACCCTTGGCTACCATTTTACTGAGAAGTATAATACAAAAAGGAGATTTTTGCGTCTAAAAAGATTTTGGCAAACTAAAAAACAAACTTTATTTATTTATTTTTTAAATCTCAAAACATATAAGCAGCATTTCGTTTTAAATTGTCAATTCATTTACTGTGTTTCATGCGAGCTTCTACTTTAGCTTCTCTTCAATGGGTCCATGCTAAATCCAGAATGGAATTTAAAATCCTCCTTCTTCTACTGCATATGTAGTAATCAACCAGTCATAATTCTGAACAAAAAAAAAAACAATAATAAAAACTTGGCTGTAGTATGAAATGGTAAGAGGAGAGCTGATGGAGTACCTATAGATGGCTTGGATCCTTTGCTACTACAGGCTTAACATCCTTCCACTAATATAAAAACGAGTGACAATAAAGTAATAGTAAAATTATAACCCGTATTTTAGAGTTGTGGTGTTTTGGGGTTTTTTTTCTTCTGAATATATGCAAGTAATTTAGCACATGGTATATATATTTTTACATAATACATTTAATAACATTTTCGCTATAGGTCCTGTATATTTTTGCACATTATATAGTACATATATATGTATATTTACATTTTTAAAACAATCAAAAAGATTTTCTGTGGGTTTTAGCTAACCTTTATGATGTAGATAAAGTCAAAGCAACTTCAAAACTTGAAAAGAAAGTTAGTTAAATTACAAAACGCGTTTTGTATTGATTAAAACGAATGTTTCGTTTTAAGATTTCACATTTAGATGTATAAAAAGTTAATTGCACTCTAAATCTGTCCAATTTACCCAATTTCTTGTGCACATATCGTATTGACACTCAGAATATGTGTTTAAAAAGAAAATTGATATAATGGAAAAGTAATAATAATGAGTTCAAATAATTATTATTCGTTAGTTGACATCTGAGCCTAAATTAGCTTCGTATGTACATCAAATAAAAACACTCACCACCTGCCTGCGCTTTTCCAGACATTACGGTAACGAGCGTCACGCTACCAGGAAGGCCATTGTGTTGTCTCTGTTTTAAGCTAACACAGCTACTCAGTTGCGCTTTTTTTACGGCCACATTTCTGGTCAGCAGCGGGGTGAAACATGTCCACAAACATGCCGGCGGGAAGCCTAAACCTGGAGGCGCAGCTTCTGTCCATCATGGACGTGCTGGTGAAGGCGGCGGTGGCGGAGATCAGTCAGCTGTTCTCGGAGAGCTCGGCGTCCCTGCGGCTGCATCTCACCCAGAGCCTGAAGGAAAACGAAGCGCTGAGGATGAGGATGAAGGTGACGAGGAGCGAGCTCTTCTCCCTGCGGCTCCAGACCAGGACCAACCGGCCGGTCAGCCGCTTCTCTCCCATCAGAAGTAATGTGGCCAAACCGCGGGCTAAACCTCAAGGTAACGATAGTTTCACTTTGGAAACATACTTTGAGTAACAAGTCATCCCGCTCTTTGTACACAACTAAATACTCTTTTTTTCGAGCCTACTTCTACTTCTGCTGCTACTAAACGGCCTATAACACGTGTTTAAATGAGTTTCACACTAAAAATGCAGATGTGCTGAATAATCGATAAACTGATGTCACGTGGTGCGACGTCACGGATTTCAATGTTTCCACTTTGGAGGTGATCGATCAGTTCATCAGATGTCACTCTGACAGTTCACTGTATTTACAGTCTGTTGTATCTTATTGTGTATTTAAACTTTTGATGCACCAAATTACCAATTTAAGATATTAGTATTTCAGTTTCCTTGCGTCAGATTAAGTTCTAACAATTTAAGTTTAAAACTACGGAGCCCGTCTGGTGACATGGATAAGAAGGAAAATAACTCGTTCCCACGCATTAGTAAATCGAGGCCACGAGTTATTAATGCGTGGGAACGACATAGTTAAATTGTGGCCTGGCATTACTGATATGAAGAAACAAGAGAAGTTGTGGAGCAAACTTCACAGTGCGGTCAAACCAGCTGTCTGTTAAGGATAACGGGCGGACTTACATGAAACATGGACCATTTTGATTTGATTTCATTTTAGTTTAACCTTGGAGTGAACTACACCGATCTCTTACGATGAAACACTGTGTGATAATTAAGTCGTTCCCACGCATTAATATCTCATGGCCACGAATTACTAATGCGTGGGAACGAGTTATTTTCTTGCTTATAGATGTCACCAGACGGGCTCCGTAGAAAACAAAGGGGGACTGAGCTTTGAATGTTTTAGCCCCAACACCCAAACCCCTTTAACTGTCAGAACAGCTTAGCCTCCGTCCGGTGACATCGATAAGAAAGAAATTAACTCGTTCCCACGCATTAGTAATTCGTGGCCACGAGATATTAATGCGTGGGAACGAGTTATTTTTATTTCTTATCCATGTCACCAGACGGCCTCCGTAGTTTTCACCCTTAACTGTGGGACTTCTAACAGTAGCTGGTGTTCAGATCTCAGGGGTCGAAGTGCAGAATTGAATCTGCAGCACCTGTGAAGTGGTGGGATGTATCAGGTAGCAAGTAACCAGTCCGTTGTATAAGTTAATGTGTTGGAAGCAGAAAAGAAATGGTGTGAGGATCTGAGCAGCTTTGACAAACTGTGATGATCAGACGACCTCCAACACATCAGGTTTTGTGGGGCGTTCCTGGTGTGCAGTGGTTCGTAACTACCAAAGGCGGGACAAGAAAGGACAGTTGGTGACCCGGCAACGGGGTCATGGGCACCCAAAGGCTCATCGATGCAGGGATGGAGGAGCTGCTGTGGCACAAACTGCTGTTACCGAAATGCTGGCTGTCAAAGAAAGCTGTCAGAACACACACTGCATTAGAAAAACAAATCCAATTCATAGATGCCATTTCTTTCAACTCCCAGAAATTCAGCGATTTCAAAGATCTGCTGCTAACGTCGTGTAGAGTTCATGATCTGACAGGTTCGAGCAGTTTTTGTGGCCCAATGAAGACCTGCACAGCATTCGGCAGGTGGTTTTAATTCTGTGTCTTTTTCTTTAATCCTCCAGTTGTCATTAAATCACCGGTGGCCCAAAAGACTGTTCGGGAACCCGCTGCCATCACTCTGCAATCAGATACCAAGACGTCCTCCTCTGCCACTCAAGTGCAGGTAAATGCAGCACATAACTGTATGTACCGACAGTTTGGTTTGAATGCTTGTTTGCTGATGCAGATCCGCTCTCATGTGTTCAGTGTGCAGACGTGGAGAGCCCAGATGTCATTCTGATCAAAGACGAGGACGACATCGGAGGATGTGAGCCTGTCGTTGGTGAGCAGATTTAAATAATGCAGCACCTCATTGTTGGCGAGCCACGCCCGCTGATAGGAAACCTGTCTTGCTCAATAGCACACAAACAGGTCCTAATTACTGTAGATTCAATTGTTTTAAATCCAAACACTGGATTAAATGCTGCTGACTTCACCTGCCTAAATCAGGTCTGGTATGACTGGGTTATATTATTTGTAGTGACAGATGAAATAACTTTTTGTTTTATATAACACTGGCACAAAACCACACATCATATCAGACAGTGGCTATCCAGACAGAGTCGTGTTAATCGTACAAATTGACTGAATTTAGCCATTTTAGATTTGTTCATGTAAATAAAAAAGGAAATAACACTTTTTAAATATATAAATGGAAGCTACTGCTTAATGAATGTGACTGAAAACTGAATAAAAACAACATTTATTTATCATTCTTACTCCCCAAATCCATCTTTAACTGAACTAATACTTCTGCAAGATTCTCACAGTAGAGGAGGTTTAGAAAATATATGAGAAACTGTCTCACATCCACAACTATGGAACACTTGAAAAGGTAAAGAAATTGTTGAACAGATTTAGCTCTTTTGCTGTTCCCACAATTCAAGATTTTTTTTATTTTGATCAAAACTAAAGCTCGTTTCCAGAAATAGACCCCTCATGTGAACTGCAGCTTCGCATCGGCACCATTAGCTCACATGTTCTGAAGTTGCCAGAGGTTATTAAATTATTGGAGCAATATTTTTCTGATCTTATAATTTTTTTTTGCACAGATCTATCGACTTGGATCCCTTGATGGCAGTTCTATGAATTATAGACTGAAACATAATATATATCATTTGTCAGCCTACTGGAGTGGAAAAAGATTTTATGCAGTTAGAAGCAGACAGTGGCCACAACACATCCGAATCTAACCAAAGATGTAACAAAAGACTCGGAGCTAAAAAAAAAAAAAAAAAATTCTCTATGAAAAGGCAAAAACAGGAATTTTACAAAATTTGGCAATCTTCTATACACCTCCGCTTCACATGAATCAAAGATTTCAACATGATTTGTGACCATGATCTGTGTTGAATCATCTCCGATGTTACAAATCAGACACGAAGGATGTTGTTACACACAGTTGTGAGGGCTGTAACGTCATATGCCTTCTGTAGTGGTGGTTAGGTTTCAGAATGTTCTTTTCCCACAACATTAATCTATGTCAAATATGCTCTTGACAAAGCATGTGGCCTATTGAAATGATAGAAGACTGCAAATATTGTCATAGAGGTCATGAAGGGACACTGGAAATGCATAATTACGTCAGATATTATTTTCATTTTATTATATTTGTACAAAAAGATAATAAAATACAGTTAAAAACAATACATTTACCCTGTCCCAGATGTTCAAGAAAACTTGCTTCACTTTAGTCAACACTTGCTAACCGCATTTAAACTCGGATGAAAGCTTCTGTTTGTCATTTTTTTCTGACTGTAGCCCTTGCCAATGTTATTTTCTCATCTCTTCAGGTCAGGATGACTTTGGAAACCACAGTATGCAGGGTGGTGTTGCCACAGGGACTCAGAATTTAGAGCCAGCTGGTTCCTCCTGCTTGACAGGTGATAATGAGGAGCTGAGAATCGTGAGCGTTCACGGCCGAGGAGAAGGGCCTCTGCATGAGGAGGGAGACGCCCTCTTCTCTGCCTCTGAGCTTCAGGCTTTCAGCTCCCTGTCTGACCACAACGTCGCCCACGACACCCTCCTGAATTTCACCACTGGTGCGAGCGACAGAGCACCGATGAGAGTGATGCAGGATAACACTGTTGGACTGGGGATAAACACCCAACTCGAAAGAAATCCCTCCGCTCAAATGGCTTCCATGAATCCTGCATTAAAATCACCTGTAATAGGAGCCGACGGTCAGGTGGGACACCCCAGTCACATCGGCCAGTTCTCCCAGCAGCAGAACGTCTTCCCGCACGGCCTCAACAAATCCCTGGAGTGCAGCTTCTGTGGCGAGCGCTTCCTCAGCCGCGAAGACCTGATCGTGCACCGGGCGAACCACACCGGGGAGTCGCCCATCCCCTGCTCCTTGTGCGGGAAGTCGTTTGTCAGCAAGACCACACTGAGCATCCACATGCGCATCCACACCGGGGAGAAGCCGTACGCCTGTCCGCAGTGCGGGAAGCGCTTCACGCAGAACGGCAGCCTGAAGATCCACCTGAGGACTCACTCCGGAGAGAAGCCGTACACCTGCAACCAGTGCACCGCCAGCTTCAACAACCCCAGCAACCTGCGCAGACACATGATCACACACAGCAGCAATGGGGCACTCTGACCATGAGCTCTGTGGCAGACGCTGTTTCTTCACAGAGTGTCATTACACATTGTGACTTTCTGACAACTGAAGAAACGGTGGTTATTGCGAACTGTTTTATAGATACAATACACAGGCTTGACTGTTGTTGGTTCATGCCGTGAAATAAATACCCGGCGAAGTAATTCACTGATGTCAATATAATATTTGCCCTCATCGGCCTAATAATACACAAAACAGTTCTGGCAAAATATCTGTTTATTCAATTTCTGTTGTTTTGCAGTGTTGATCTTCATAGTGCCACACCCAAGATATATACACGTGATGGGGATGGGTGATAGAAAGCTTTTTAAATTTGATACTATAAAGACAGTTTTTGTTCCAACTTTCACAATATTGACACCTATCGTCTTCAGTGGATCTGTGATTTTCTAAACAATGGTCATTTTTAGAAAATGATTAAACTTAATGACGCATAGTGGCCATTAAAAAAGCCAATTTATTACAAAGCAAAATTAAGAAAAAAGCATCTGGAGGTTTATAGAAATACAATAGATAAATGAACATTTAGTTAATATATGCACAGCGGTGCACTTGGGATGTCATGTGACACTGTGACTTTATATGTCAGGGCTGTTTTGGCACAAACATTAAAAAAGTAGTGAATCTGTTTGGAAGCGATGTAGCTACCCACATTTTGTATTTATATAGTTTTGTTGGTGATATTTTTTTAAAGGAATCCGTAGCAGATGGGTAATTACTTATCCTCCCATCCCTAGTGACTGCTGGTGTGAAGGTGTTTTAAACATTTGCAAGGTACTATTTTCTCATATCTCAAAAGTGACCAATTTTACTAACCGTTTTAGACGTGGTTTCATCAGTTTTTGAAACTTATCTGAAGTTTTAAAATGTGCAGCTCATTCTCTGTCCCTGCACAAGGAATGGGGTAATTGAGAATGCCATTCTCTTTTCTTTTTTTTTTTTTTTTGTGTGTGTAAGTGTGTTTCATTTACAAACAAACTACCTCTACTGTTGTCTCTGTTGCAGCTCTCTTTTTTCCTGTTTTTGTACTCTCCAGATAATAACAGACCGGGCAAGTTGGTGTGGGTTCTGTCTGTGGATATGCAGTTCTGAATAAATACAGTTTTGTTTTTTTTCATACAACTTTCAGTGTCTTGACAAGTCTCATTTTGCACCTCTAGAGAGCAGTATTGTTTTTGCTGCTGGTATTTTACTGTGTCTCAGGTTTACTGGTGTGACCGAAGCACTGTGGGGGGGGACTCTCAAGGAAACTGGGGGAAATTCCTCACATTGTTCCTCTTTCCACCCTGCCCAATGCCAAAGTATTGTGTATCGAGTTGTGACTTGTTGGGCTTTGATCGAGAAAGTCATATTAAAACTGAGAAGTTGTGCTAAAAGTGGTAATAAATGCTGGTAATTTAACATTTTTAGAGATAGAATTAAAGTTTAAATGGTTCTTTAGAGGTACACTTGTGCATTGTTTCCTGAACAATTGTGGTCAAACATGATTCATATGAAGAGGGCCTGTTTACCAGCGCTTTGTACCAATCAGACGAATGCGGGGGACGTGATGGTCACTAACAGTGGTTTTTATGTGCCAATAGTTTTGTCATGTTGGTGGGGAATGCAGTTGTACTTCCCCACGAAATGCTGCTTCCTCCCAGACTATTGTTCTTGGGCAATCAATGAAGTGACATCAGTGTGTGTATATGGGAGTATGAGGGAGGAGAGAGGAGGCGGTGGGAGGTATTTATTCCACTGCTGTAACACAGTTTAAATCCCCCATTTTTCTCCCTATTTGTAATTATAGTTTTGCTCATTGTCAGTCAGTGTGACAAATAAATTTTACACCACCGGTCCAGCTGCAGACTCCTGGACCCGCCTTGAAACCTGTGACAAAACACCTGTGTGAGGGGAGGAATTCTGCGTGCGCAGTTTTTACGGTAAAGCCGCTTGTTGATCCCGCCCTCTCTTTGATACAAAACTCGGTGATGTCGCTTCGTCTTTAACGAGCTTGACCCAGAACCCAGGGAAGGAGGGGAAAAGAGGGCAGAAAACACTAAAAAAAAAAAACGGAATAGTCTGGACAGGCTTTCTAATAGCAGGTGAGTAAATCCTTAAATGGTAGCAGATGTTTTATATATTGGGGGTCGGTTGTGTTTTTTTTTATCCTTAGATAGTGGGTGCACTGCAGCGTTGGCAAGGAGTGGTCACATCATCGACAGATCAGCAACACGACTCTCCGCGGCTAACGCTAGCTAGCGATGCTAACTTAAAAGTTCAAGCCGCGACCCGCGTCTCTATCACCCACCGCGCACACTGCGTTTAATAATTTAAAGCAGCCTTCAGTGCTAACTCCTGAAACCGAAAACGCCGTCTAAATTAGCCTTAAAGGCCGCCTGGCTGTGCACTCACGGCTCTCGTAGCTAATCTGTGTTTGCTAATGCTAACGCTAGCCTGGCTGTTGGCAGCGATCTCCGTCGGCTATGTGGGTTATTGTGATGCTAACGTAGCAAGACAGCCAAACCAGGTCACACGGGTGCTGAGCGAGCATTCAAGCCAACCGGGCTGATTTCATCAACAACATTGTCATTTATGTGGACGGCGGCGTTAGCACAAGCACTGACTAACTCCAATGCGTGAGTCTTTGTTCGTGAGAGTCATTTTATACCGACGGCTTTGTGCTGCTGCCTCTGTGTGTTGGCTAATGCTGCCCCACATTGATGTCTTACGTTAGCAAATCAATTCACGACAATGTGTTGGGTCTCGCTGGATGAGGTGAATGCTAACTTTTAGCTGCGCCGTGGGGAAGGTTTGCTAAGGAGAAGAGGGTTTGGGACTTCAAACAGACATGACAACGTGACGGTCAGGCGGGTTTACAACACTGAAGTGCACTGGTTCCCCAGCTCTGTACATTAACAGTGCTTTGACCTACTTCATGTTGCTGTCGATGTCTCATTTTGGCGTCTGCTATCGGAAGCAGACAGTTATCAGCTGGACTAGATAAGTAGATTTCATCACCACGTTGGTAGAAAACCTCCAGGGAGCTGCAGGTAATTCGAAACCTTTCATCTTATTTGACTAGACATGTACTGTGAGGTCTTTTTGTGTATTTGATGCCGCTTTAAGGGTGGTGGTCTCCCATTTGTAGTCTGTCACACACACGCAGCCTGGGATTATTAGTTTGTCAGCCTGTGAACCTGTTGGGTGGGTCCTGTGTGAACTTGTTTTGTTAGGGAAAAGGCTGGGTGGGGATAACTGTCAGCCAGAGTGCGATCAAGTAAACCAGCTTTTCCCTTGTTAACACTGGTTTCATGCAGGCACATATTACAGTGCGGTTTAGTGTCTTCCCTGTGGGCTTTAGTTCCATCCTGGTTTGTGTTTATACAGTATGGGTTTAATGGAGGTATCACTGTGGCCGATTTGATGTGCTGCAGGTGCCACCGCTAATAACAGCATATGTCAGCCTTTCCTGACTACTTGTCTCCAAGTCATTGTTTGATTGTTGATGCATGCTCCCAACCTCGACTGCAATTGTGTCTGCTGTCCTAAGGTGTACAGGTTAATCCACAAAGGGGCTAACGCGTGTGCATATGTGTCTATGTATGTGCGTGCATGTTAACGTCACGTGTGTGTGTGTTAGGAGGTAAGTGGATTAGTGGGCTAAAGCTTCAATCCCATTACAAGCCATGCTCAGCTTAAACCAGCACCGGTGCCGTCACGCTGACTTTACAGCAAATTGTAGTGTCGGGTACCTTGAGATGCGCGAACAGATGTGAATTTTGACAGTCAGTGTGTTGTTTCAGTGGGTGTATTTGCAGCTGACGGCAGGTGTAGGCGCTTACTGCTCTAACTAGAGTTTCATTAAGTCGACAAAGGCTGTATTGTTGGTTACCGTGAGTGTATGGACGCAGATGTCTTCTGACGGGGCTGAGTGAGTCACGCTGACTGATGGCTGCAAAATCAGATGGAGATATCTGACTCGTGGTGTGTCAGGGGTCAATCAGATGTTGTTGTTGAACTCAAGGTACTGTGCTTGACATTTTGAACTTGAGTTACTGTCATGTTTGGGACACCTGGACATTTTCTCAGTGGGCTCTTATGTCCTCACCTCTAAAGAGAGGGGGGAAAAAAAGTAATGCTCAGGTTTTTGGAAATACAAGGTCCATGCAGTGTGGTGCACTGTACATTATAATGTACACATATGATTAGTTTTGTCATTAGTTTTTGTTTTGAATTTACTCTCGCAGAAAAAGAATATATATTATTTTTGGTGTTGGTTATTTATGTTGTAGCCGTGTGTCTTGATCAACCAATCCTGTCAAAAAACAAGAGAGAAACCTGTTTCAGTGGTTAGATTGTAGGAACACACTCGCTCTTAAATAAAACAAAGCAGACAAAGAAATAAGTAACCAACTAAAAAAATGAAAGTAAGATGAATCAACTTGGCAAATTAACAGAGACTGCCTCTGGAAGGTCATGAAAGCAGAACAGAAAACAGCAGATGGAGAACAATATTAGTAAAGTGGGAAGCGGTCTGTGGTCGTGTGATCAACATATTGACCATGGGAAATTTTCACCGCAAAAAACCCTCTGTTAATGGACAAAGCCAACCATCAGTACGTGGTGTATTAAAGTGTACATCCTATAAGTACCCATGGTTTGTGTACAAGCAATTCTGTTGTGGAAAAGGATTTATGGTGAGCCAAAGAAGCCATTGCGGCCCTGTGCTCATCTGATGTCGAATCCATAACATCCTGTTTCTCAGGAAGTGGGTAAGAGGGGAAAGGGGAGGGGAGTGGCAATGGGACGCCATTGATTGTTTTCATTGTTCAACGAAACTCACCGCTGACTTTCAAGGCCAAAACTAACAGCTGTGAGAGAGGGGGCGGCAGGAGGAGAGTAGAAATCATGAGTATGTAAAGGGCAATGTTATCTCAATCCCCCTCCCAGATCTGATCGCTGATGCGCACACGCTCACATGCGCCCAGTAATGTTTTCCAGCTCTTTTCGCACTTGTGCTCGTAGTCGCAGTTGCACAAACTTTTCATTGTTCCACCATCCTCCCGATATGACAGCTGCAAATTCCCTCCTTGCTGTGGTTAAAACACACACACACACACACACACACACCTACACACACACAGACAGTTTACGCATACATTCACATTCCTAAGTGCACATGCCAAGAAATGTCAATCACAGTTTGTAATTTATCTTGTGTAAATGACAGTGGTGCTCATTAGTGAAATAAGATAGCTTATAGACTGTTGCATGTGAGACAAGCTGAGGAGTGACACTGCCAACATGTGGCATAAAATTATAAAAAGCTGCTTGCTGAAAAAAGATTTCGCAAATTTGTTCCTCTGTGTCTGGATCACTATGACCAGTAAACTTGTCTAGAAATGCCCCAACTGCACAGTAAACACAGATATCTGAATGATGATTAGCCAGTGTCCTGTTAAGGTCGTTTGACAGTGGATGAGTGGGTGGGCTGCTGTGCTGAATTGGCAGGAGACAATGCTAGGAATGCAAGATTAGCTTTTATCTTTTATTTCCTTCTCTTATCTCTACCCCCCCATTTTTCTTCTCATGCTCTACCCGTCCTACCATTTCTTTCATGTCTTCGTGGCTTTTCTGCTTTGCCCATCTCTGTCTGTAGTGAATAATGTCAACTCTGTCCCAGCTGTGACCATATAAAGGCATGTGTGGTACAGGGCAGCAGTTTGTGATTTGCTCAGGTAGGAAGTTATGACTCTGGGTGAGCGTATGTATGTGACATCATGCTTTCCTCTCAGTCAGCCTCATCCCACATGCAAATCCTGGTTGTGGTTATCGCAGATTCCTTTGTCTTGGGAAATGCACATTGGCCACTCCTCGTTTTCTCATCAGGACGTCCCACTTACCCTCCTTTTTTTCCCACACTGGGCACACCCAAAGCTGGGAATTTTAAAAATACGTAAAGTCATATACGTGTGCGTCAGTCATTCATTTGAAATGCATACGCGAACAGACGCAACATCCACAGGGTCATTTTACCAGCGAAAAGGAAGCAGATAAAATTACTGTTACTGTGTCGTAATAGTTTGTCTGTGGTGATTTCGTTATGTCTGTCTTTTTTCTTTAGTTTGCACAATCTGATGCAGGTGAAACTGTGAGTCATTCATCGCCATCTCTTGAATTGATTACACCTATGCTCGTCTCTCTGTTTGCACTTGTTAAAGCTCTACCTGTCAAGGACACAAACACCTGCTGCTTGAAGTGTAAATGCAGGTCCCTGATTGTTGGCCAAACTTACAACTCTCAGAGAAGTCTGTCTGTGCATGTTGGCCAGACAGAGAGAGACACTGAAAAAACTGAAATTTGGTCACCCCTCCTCTACCTTGTCCAACCGGTCATGCAAGTGAGTGTGTGTGTGGCAATGCCTGGGTTTATTCACCTTTTAAGCCAGAGCTGATGAGAAGCTGGGTTGCTGCAGCAGAGGGTGTATCAACAGATAAGAGGATCTGAGTTTCCACTATCCTCTTGTTTAGCTCTGATATAACAATGTCTTTCTCTGAGCCAAGACAACAAAGGGATGTAGGGGGAGGGATAGGAGGCAGTTGAGAGCACAAGACAAGAGTAGTGGACTGTCAAGAGTGAGCCAGAGGTAGATAAAGACTGATTACAGAGAATAGGTGGGAGCAAAAAAAAAAAAAAAAGCAAGGTTACGCTGCAGAAGAATAGTGGATAAGAGAGCACATAGTTGTTGAAGGCTGTTACTATCTCTGAACCTCTCTTTCCCTTTATGCTGACTGTCGATGTTCTCTGGCCCAGGGAGAGCTGCAGGTTGGTCAGCTTCCCACAGCTAGCTGCCGTACACAGGCCAAGTGTTGAGTAAATACTGGGTGTGTCTAAATGCTGGAGCTACTGTACGTCTCTGTCTCTTGCTGGGCCTTTCTGCTCACAGAGCAAACACAACGCTGTTGACACACTTGTACGGTATTCTCACTATCTTGCTGTTTTTCCAGAGGTGCCTTCGCTTAAACACTTCTTCTTCTCTTTCTCTCTCTCTCTCTCCTTGTTATTCTCGTCCCTCCACCCGTCTGTCTTTCTCTACAGTCCATTCCTCCCTGTTTCTGGGCTCGGTGGTTCGGTGACCTTCTACACATGATCAACTAGAGCACCACCTCTGACCTCGGCGTGATCTCTCACCTCTTATACCAAACCACGCCCACAGGTGAAGGTGTGTATTTTGGATTTTGTGTGAATTCAGCTCAGAGACATGATGCTCATGTGTGTTGTGATTTGTCCTTAAACCATAACGAGTAGTGTGCAGTTCTCCTTGGTCTGACTGTGGAGTGTTGTGATGTTAAGTTTCCCGCTACAGTAAAAACCGTATCGAGGATGCTTCTCTTTGTGTGAAACAGGCTTCATCCTCTTTGTTTGACAGGATTTTTTGTGTACTGTGGATTTCTTCATAATCTCTGCTGCAGATCACAATCACTTCTGATGCATGAATAAAAATAAAATCATGACACAATGCGAGATAGCAGTTTGATTCTGGCTATTCTCATTCAAAATCGCAACCAAGACATCACATGTCATTCTATGCTGTGTTTCCTTTACAAGGAGTTTTAGTGATATTTTCTAGTGTGGCATTTGAGAATGGTCCAAAACAGAGGACACCTTTGTGCATGCATCGGGTGGAAGCCTTTTGATCTGCATGCATGTAATGGTATGATGTTGACAAATACAATATTGCATTAAGTGCCTCTGCATTATAGAGATTAATGTGCTGCATTAACCAGGGTTTTAATGAATCTGACATTTCCCTCCATCATCACTATCCTCCTCCTGGACAGTTTGACTCGTATTGTGTCTACAAATACACAATATGCTTATGTTTTTAACAGCATCAATTGGTAGCTCATTATTCTACTTTTTTTTTTTTGAACACATTGGAGTGGTTTCACTATTACAACTACAGTTTAAAATGATTAAGTGTCAGGAAGAGTTAGTCATGACAACCCTTCCATGGAATAGATACAAAAACTCCCTATAACTGTGGAATTTTCATGTTTCACTTTCAATTGAAAACCAACAACCCTGGAAACATGTCTCTACAGGAAGGATCACTGTACATTCATTTTTGAGGCAAAAGCAGGCGACCATGATGATCAAGATCAGCTCTTGAGTAATCCTTACAGTCCCTGTACGTTTCCAAGAAGGCATCTGATCCTGAGTTACCAAACAAGATGTTTCAGTAGATAAACTAGATAGGGGTGAAATAACCCTTTCTCCTTATTGTTAGCCCCAAAAAGTCCTGCATCTACTGGATCTTGCTACTTTGTTTGGAGAGTGTGTTTTTGTTGGACACCCTCTCCCTGTGCTGTAGTGCATCTGAGGCTGTATGGAGATGTGTAACGCCCCGCTCTCTCCCCTTGGGGTGGTGTAGTGTGTATGGAGCAGTGTGAGAGCGCAGCGGCTCTGCTGGAGTCGGTCAGGGAGCAGGAGGTGCAGTTTGAACAGCTGACTCGGGCGCTGGAGGAGGAGAGGAGGAGGGTGGGCCTCCCCGCCACCAGCCCCTCGACCCTGGGTCGCCCCCTCCCTCACACACAGGTAACACTCCCCAAAGAACCCAAACATGCCCATCCAAAATCTCTTGTCAACAGCCGCCCCCATCTTTCACCTCTACTTCCAGTACATGGATCACTATTCCGTCCATCCAACCCTTTTAGAGAATCCATGCATCATTTTCTCCCCTCAACATTCATTCATCGATCATTCATCTCTTCTCTCATCGGTCCCGCCTCCTCTCCACCAGCGCTCGGCAAAGTCCGTACGTGTTTGTGTGTGCCACTGTCAAATGTCTCTCTTTACTGACTGTGTATCTGCAACATCCATCTGTTCTTCATCTGCAAATCCATCAGTTCATACTGGCACATAGTTCACCACTGTTAACATGCCTGAGATGATCGTCACACTTCCAGCATGCCTTCGCTGTCACTCACCGGATACGCTGTCACAGACGCATATACACCTTTCGTCAGCCCCTGTTGTGGAATTTCAGTTATTTTCCTCCCTGTTCCAGCATGTCGTATTGTGGAGCAGGGTCGTCTGTCGTGCATGTGTCCCAAAGTCCTATATCTAAAAACATTCCTTCACTTAGAATGTCATGTTTCCATTTTCATTTGAAGCACTTAATTTTTTTAAAAATTTGCTGTTCCTGCTGTGTGTTAAGTATTCGTTTGCATGTGATTATCTTTTTTTGTATTCAACATCCATTTATCAGTTTGTGTAGAAAAATCACTGGTATTTGCTATTTCCGCTTCATGTATCAGCATTATATCGTTGAGTGTTATGACCATATACAATATGAGATAATGCAGATTTGTCTACCGTTGGAGATTTTGAGTCCTACAGAGCTGTAAGATTTCTGTTAACATTTCTCGCAGCCCATGCTGATGTGTTCCAGTAGCTTGTTCTGTCTGACCAACAGTCTAAACCTCAGCTATTCAAATAACTACCATAGGGGTTTATGAAAGCCAGTAGTTATTCATATTTTGGCAGAATTCATGAAATGTTAACGCTTGTACATAAAAATAGCTTGAATAATTAACTGATAGGCAGCTGTTGCTGGTCGATTTTGTGCCAGTAGGCTGATTTTTATTTGGTGAAAATGTTGCAGCTGTAATACTGCAACTATTGTAGTTGTGTTTAACTATTAAGGGTAAGACTGAGTATTGTATTGGGCATTATTAGTATTTCCTGAAAACAGTTCACTTAATAATCTTCCTGAAAACTGACGTCCTGTTTGTTTTAATGTAGAGGATCAGTGTACCTGTTTTGAAAGTCTAAGTCTCCCACTTTGCTGTTTTGTTTACAGCCAAATTATTTGTTTGGACAAGGTCCGGCTGTTGCCTTGTTGTACCATTTTGTTGCCTCTACCACTGTGTGATTGTCTAGTTATTTGATCAACTTTACTTTGCCTGATTTAGACTTCGAAGGACAATTAAATCATTACTCCTTCAGGCAACTTTGACATCATTAGCAACCTTTTCAGCTCTTGTACGCTGACAGTGTAGTGTAGTTTAAATTCTGTCCCTAAATGTTTTCCTTCCTTTCTGGGACTTGCTGACATAGATTAGAGCTTGTTTTGTCTCCTTGAGTCCTTGGAAGGATAAAGGCTAAGAAAGCATGAATTTGTGTTTTGGGCCTTGCGGCTGCTGTCCGTGTTTAGTATCCAGATATATAAACAATGATAAAGACATGTATGCCCTGCCAGCGCTGCTCTAAATGCATGCCACAGTTGTTTATAAAAGGTGGTATTATAGGAAGGGCTAGCCGTAGAGGAAGTGTCTCCTTCTTGTTAGGAAGCCTGCACTTCCTATAACAGCCCTGCCTCCTTGTGGTCATAATATTTAGTACAGTGTAAGATGCTGCAAATAAAGTGGGGGTCAGTCTCTGATAATGTTCCTCATCTGTTTTTGCCAGTAGTGTCACAGTGACATTGAACTGATCTTAACTCTGGGTGGTGGAACAGTTGATGCAATGATTTACAAAGCAGCCCAATCATGCTGTGTTCGCATGTATTTACTGACAACTGAGTGCTACTCAGGGTTAGGCAGAATGCATCCAAGTCATACAGTGTGACAGTCAGTGATTATGTAAGACTTTAGTGCAGAGGAAGTGGAGTGTGAGGATGAATGACTGCATTCCAAAATGTCCGCCTCCGTGTCTGGCAGTGATTCACTGACCATGAACATGCAGGGACCGTTTGGTCAGCACTGAATGTGCTTCAGCAGCAGTAATATCATCTGGGTAGTTGTAAGAAAGTAGACAGCACTGGCCACTGGGAGCCATGCCTCGAACCTCACTTATAAAAATTGTATGGCATGTGAAATTGTTGCACAGTGTGTTTCAGAGTTGTGTCTTTTTCTTTCATCCCAGAACGGGCGTTTGGGGGATGCAGACATAGAACGACTGAAACTAACTGACGCATACATAAACGGCACACAGGTATGTGTTTGTGTATGTAGTTATAATCATATAAAATTCATAATTTTTCTTGCGGTATGTGCCAGTGATTAAACTTTTACGTGTGGTTTCTCTGCTACAGTACAGGATGGTGGATCCAGCACACGGCGCTCTAGATGAGAGCTACACACCGGAGGACGACTCTCAGGAAGTACACTCTGTCTTTTCTGAAGAGGGAACCACACGGCGAACAGACAATGGGGTAGGCTGATATGACACATTCTCCACTTTAATTGCTATTGTCAGACTTTATTAAATTCTAAAATTGCTGTTGCCATTTTAAAACATGACTGATTTTGCTGTCCTTCAGATGAAGAAACCAATTTCACGTACAGTCCTGCCTTCTGACGCAATGTCCATTGACGGGGGCTTGACGGTGCCCGGTATGGGCGTTTACAGCGCCACACTGGACCGTCCTTACAGGCAGGCCGGTGGAGTAGACTACCCCACCGCCACAGTACCCAGAAACTACCACTACGGCCCTGTAGGAGGTTATGATGACTACCGGGGAGGTCCGCCATCAGAGGCGTACACTAGTCTGACCAGGGGCTCACACATGGATGATCGCTACAGGTACAGGAGCATAGGCAGTTGTGGAAAACGTCACATTTTATTGTGATTGCTTTACTGTACATCTAAGAATATGTTGTCTTGCAAAGAATTCAACATAAAAAGCCACAATGTACAGTTTTTTTGGTTTTCTTCAACGTGTACAAAGGCATAATTTCCCAGTTTTCTTCATCAACATTATTGTGTCACATTTAGACAGATTTTAAAATGGGTAATTGACACGTTTTGTCAATATGCAACTATTCAAATGAGAATATCGGTGTCTGATGCGTGGTTGGGAAAGCCAAAAACTTAATTGATTCACAGCACTTCCATCTTTCCCCAGGCCGGTTGATGGCTACAGAACCCTGGACTCTGGTTATCGGGCCCCGAGCCGACAGCAGCTTGACCCTTATGCAGCACAGCCCCAGGTGGGCCGAGGAATGAGGGCCATGGGCTCAGCAATGGAGATGCGGTATGGCCACGGCCACTATGGCATAGAGGACGATCAGCGCAGTGTGGGATACGATGACTATGGCATGGGGCCTCCACCCATTCACCCCGGAGGCTATGGCACCATGCCACGCCTGGGGCCGGGCCCCGGGGGCATGGACAGACGGAGACTCAGGTACACTTCAGATGTGCTGTTCTGTACTTGGTTAATCTGGAAGTTTTAATCTCTTACTTCAGGCACTTATAACAAACGTTTCTCTACCTCCTTCTACAACCTGCAGGAGCTGTGAGGATACTCTGGATGGCGACATGGGAGGAGTTGACCCTTACGCTTGGGGCGTTCCCATGACGATGGAGAGGGGGAGCATGGCTTCATTGGACAGCACGTTGAGAAAGGCTCCTCCCGCTTCATGGCGACAACCTGAGCTACCGGAGGTGATCGCCATGTTGAACTATCGTCTGGACCCTGTCAAGACCAACGCTGCTGCCTTCCTCCAGCATCTCACGTTCAAAAATGACAAGGTGAAACAAACATCTGTCACATGAAGATAATAGCTTTTCAGTTATTTCTCTACTTGTCATGGAAATTCTAGTGGTTATTCTTCAGATCTTTATGATTGTTTGCTAATTATGTGTCCAGGTTAAATCAGAGGTGCGGCGCCTGAAGGGCATCCCAGCCTTGGTGTCACTGCTGGACCACCCGAGCAAGGACGTGCATCACTCGGCCTGCGGTGCTTTAAAGAACATTTCATATGGACGAGACCAAGACAACAAGATCGCCATCAAGAACTGCGACGGAGTACCTGCCCTGGTCAGGTTACTGAGGAAAACCCGCGACCAGGACCTCACTGATACTATCACAGGTATCCCTGCTCACATGAATTACTTGACAAGCCTGAATGTACAGCAGTGATAAATGAGGAAGAAACCAAAGACCAAGTCTGATGGTTTTTTTGTGTAGCATGATTTATTTATTTGTTTATTTTAGGGGCTAAGCAGTCTATCTTATTGCTGTGATAGTAACCGTATTTATTATATCACCCCAGGCACCTTGTGGAACCTCTCATCCCACGATTCAGTAAAGATGGAGATTGTGGACCACGCCCTGCACGCTCTAGCTGACGAAGTGGTCGTTCCACATTCAGGCTGGGAGCGAGGGAGCAACGGAGGAGAGGAAAGCTGCAAACCACGCCATCTGGAGTGGGAGACCGCCTTGACCAACACTGCTGGCTGCCTTAGGTATGCAAGGGATCAGTGGATGGAAAGAAAAGAAAGTTGAAGAAGGAGAATAAGGAGATAGATTTATTTTCAGAAGAAAACATGCAATTATGTGCTTAACTTCTTCCCTTCTCAAACAGGAATGTGAGTTCGGAACGCAGCGAGGCCAGGCGAAAGCTGAGGGAATGTACAGGACTGGTGGATTCGCTAATGTACATTGTCCAGTCACAGATCAACCGCAAAGATGTGGATAATAAGGTAACTGCTCTCTTGAGACGGTTGCTGATTTTTACGCTAGTTAATGCCAGCGGTTTCTTTCTGTTAAAGGGGAGGTTTTTCTTCCCACTCTCACCAAAGAACTTTCCTGAAGGGAATTGCTTGGATTTGTTTGGTTTTCTGTGTACCTCCATGTTTGATCGTCTTGTCCACTTTTCCTTTCTTCTTTCTGTAGTTGGTGGAGAACTGTGTCTGCCTCCTGAGGAATCTGTCCTATCAGGTTCATCGTGAAGTCCCAGGCGCAGAACGCTACGCAGAGACCATACCCGTCAACCAGGGCCCGGCTCCAGCTAACAAAGGTGGCTGCTTTGGCTCTCGAAAGGGCAAAGGTACGTCTGACAACTATTACACCTCAGGAATACACTGTGTATGAGAGATTTGCTGTTGAAAGTCAAGCAGTTGCTGGTGGGTTTGAGCTTGTTGGTGGCGGAAGCACCTGTCGCTGTTTTTCACACTCTGTCACTGTTTCCCTCCTTTTCCTCTTCTCCCTCCTCCTTATTTCTTCCCACCCTCCTTCACGTCTTCCTTTCTCTCTGATGTGTTTAGATGAGTGGTTTTCCAAAGGTAAGATTCTCCTCTTGGTGTTCTCATGAACGTGTGAATCTATTGACCCCTCTCATCACTTATTTTACTAACAGAAGGAAAAACTTGAGTAGAGAAAAACGAATGCCTAATAATGTTGGATTCACAAGCTGTACGTGGGCATGATCCCTGGATGTCACACCAACACCACTGCATGCTGACAGCTCCACCGGTTGCATGTTCACATTGCAAATAATAATGTACCATTGTAGAATGCAGATATTTAAAGGCTCATCTCACCCATCATCGCTCATTTCTTTGATTTATCTGCTCAGTATCTTTTCTTCTTTTTCCTTTTCTTTTTAATGCAGGAAAGAAGGATGGTGATGATGGAAGTGGAGATGTCGTTGATATTCCAAAGAGGACAATACCTGCCAAAGGTATGTGTGTCCGCTTTACATTTAAATGATTTATAGTCAATCACTCTGTAGAGCAGTTCCTTTTGTATAACACAGTACAAATCCTCTTGAGTCCAGGCAGAGATTTCCAGTGAAATGACTAAATGTATTTCAAGGTGCAGGACATTTTTGAAGGGATAATTGTACCAAGTTTGCTGAGGAAATGGTTGGATTCCTTTCTGAGAAACCATCTAAAAATATTCTTATTTCGATATAATTTAAAGCTCAAAATATCAAAATATTTTTGCTGTTGTTTTGTTGTTTTTATGTCTAAATCACATTACATGACAATTCCACCTACTTAACCACAAAAACCTGCTGACAAGCTTTTAATGTTGCCTTTACAAAATTATCAAAATGACACCTTTTATCACAGCCAGAAACTGTAAAGATGGTTTGGCTGGTATAAGTGAGTTTAATATAACGTTTGTCTGTTTTCAGCACAAATATAGATGTTTGTTAAACTCTGTAACTTTAAACTATCACGTCTCTTTCTTTCCACTCAAGGCTATGAGCTGTTGTTCCAGCCAGAGGTGGTTCGTGTTTACACGTCACTGCTCAGAGAGAGCAAGAACCCCTCGGTCCTTGAGGCGGCTGCCGGTGCCATCCAGAACCTGTGTGCAGGCAGATGGACTGTAAGTACTATTTCTTATAAACAGCTGGATTTCTGTGAAATACTCACGCTTCAGGCTTGATCCAAATTTGAATTAGGTTCATTTTTAATCTGTTAAAGTGTTCTGTTTTTTAGATTGCTGGTAAACTTGTGTTATTTAATATAAGCCAACGTGTATCACCCCCTCTCTGTGCTTGTTATACAGTATGGTCGGTATATCAGAGCCACTATGCGTCTGGAGAAGGGTCTCCCCATGTTGACAGAACTGCTGGCTCATAGCAATGACCGCGTGGTTCGGGCAATGTCTGGAGCCTTGAGGAACCTCGCTATCGACAACCGCAACTGTGAACTGCTTGGTAAGATTGTTGGTTTTAAAAAGTTCTTATAAATCACAGAAGAACATGTCTTCAGTGTCTTATTTTGCTCTATATTCTATTCACTGCTCTTGTGCAAATGTGTGTAAGCTTCTTTTAAAAGCTGCATTTTTATGGTGCAAAATCAGCAAATCTTGACTCAGTGTTTTTTTGTTGTTGTTGTTGTTTTTTTTCAGGTTTGCATGCAGTGCCTCACCTTGTGGCCAACCTGCCTGGAGGCCAGAGTCAGTCTGGTCGCACTCTATCAGAGGAGACGGTGGTGTCCGTACTGAGCACACTTGCTGAGGTGCTCAGCAACAGTCTGGAGGCAGCAAAGTCCCTCCGAGCCTCACAAGGCATCGAGAGGCTGGTGCTCATCAACAAGGACGGGTTAGTGTTTCCTGAATATTTAAGTAAAAATAGTGTTTTCAGTGCGTTTGCTGGGGATCAGGTGTTTTTTGTAGTATATAACTATGAAAGTAGCTTGTTGCATAAGCCATGTCTATGCAACAGTGTAAGACACATAGTAAGATAAAATCATTATAGTAAAGATGTTTTCCTATCGTACTGTTAAGGAGCGTCTCTTGAAAATGAATGTGCCAATGTAATGTGTCCTAATTTGTTTAGGATTTGTTAAAATTTTAAAGATACACTTTGAACAGTTAATCCAGCTTCTGTTGAATGAGTAGAGTGGAATATTGACACATTTCTGATGTTCAACATCTCTTTGATGCTGAGGAGTGACGTGTCTGACTATTTTTCTGACCCGCACTGAATGTTACAGTCATCTGTGCACAATTTAAAGCAAAACACTTCAGTAATGCGTGAACATATCTGTGTGTATCTGCAGCAAGCGCTCTGATCGTGAGGTGCGGGGAGCAGGCCAGGTGCTGCAGCTCGTCTGGGCTCACAAGGAGCTGCGTCGGCCTCTCGAGAAAGACGGCTGGAAGAAGACGGACTTCATGGTCAACCTGAACCCAAGCACCACTAACGGCCCAAGCACCCGAGCTAATGGCACCTACGAGGACAGCACCACGCCGCTTCTGGACAGAGGTCAGAGTGAGAGAAATTATTTATGTCTAAAAACATTTTCAAAGTGTTTTTGAGGGGATATCTCACAATCAGATTTTTGTATTTTTATTCAACTTGACCTGTGGCTCTATTTTGCTTCATTTTAGGGGAGAAGAGAGACATGATTCCACTGAATGACCTTGGCCCTGGTTAGTACATTTACCTTTGCTGCTTTTTACCACAAGAAATGTATAGGTAATGTGTTTTTAAAGATTACATCTGAGTTCATATTTTACGTATTTCTCTCCCAGAAGCCTACTCTACACTGGACCAGAGGGAGAGGAGACACACTCTGGATGAGACCACAGACACTTTACCGGTACCGTGAATCATTGTCACACACCTTCACGTGTTGGATTGCTGACTTATCGACACTAACCTCCTGCACAACGATAAACATTTCCTCACTGTAACCTTTTAAAAACCTCACAATTACTGACACCTTTCTTTTCTCACGCTCACATCTATTGGGTTTTTTTTTCTCTCTCTCTCTGTTTCTCTGGTCCTCTCTCAGCGAGGGGTGTATGGGGGCAGAAAGGGCTCCCTGCCTCTGTTGGACTCCTACGATGGTTAGCCCTACCCCCTCCCCTCTACCCCCTCTGCATGTAAGAGCATGGTATGTCCAACTGACCTCTAATCCTGCATGAACTCTATGAGCTGTGTTCCTATTGTCTCTGATAACTTTGAACGCTCGGTGAAACCTGGTCTATGTCTACGACGGCGTACTAAAACACAGGCAGAGGTCTATTCTACTGTCGCTTATCTATATGACACCCTGACGTGCTGTGTACATGCTGGTATAGTATGCTGCAAGGTGCTCCTTGTGCATTGTGGTCCATGCAGTCTGTCAGTGTAGATTTAAACCCCAGGATTATAGTGAAATATTAAATCCTCAGAGTAATAACTGTTGCTCATGCTGTAGTGTTGTCACAATACCAGAACTTTGACTTTGTTAGTAAAGCTAATTTTACTTTAAAAATGACAATGCGGTATTGGTAAGTCAGCTCTCCTGGTCTGGACCAAAGTAGAAATTTAAAACTTTTTAACATCAAACCACAAGATACAAAACAAAAGGCCAAGGATAAAGGCACAACCCAGCTGGACAGCTACACACAGTATATTTTGGGACACAACTTATTGAACTTCCAAAATAATGTTGTGTCTTGGGCTAAATGTTCTTGTTGGATTTACGTCTCTACTGCATGGTGGCGTTTTAGTCATATGGAAACTCATTGAGAGTGCATAAAATGTACAAATGGGACAAAACAGCTCCAAGAAATGAAGAAAAACTGCAACTAGACAGCAGATCCGACACCTGCACCAAACTGTCAAGGGAAGTGTAGCTACTATGACAAGAGGAACCAGGCGTGCTTGGATACACACATTCTTCTTTAGTTCATTTGAAAGTCAACGGTCTGTGCTGAGTTCACAATTTAGATCAACCGCACCAGAGTTTGCTCTGTGTGCACCATAGTACGGATGTCATTTGTCTCAAAGATTTACATACTCAGCAGTTTTTTGTTGCTTGAGCCTGTGGGATTTGTGTGTGAGAGAGTTCCCTCTTGTGGTTTTACAGCATACTACAACAACAACAACAACAATGTACGCAGTGTATAAAAAGAAAACTTTAATTGACTTGATTCTTGTTTCATGTCAAGTTAAGAATTAGGATTAAACCAGGGGAAAAAACTGAGAATGTAGCTGCAAATAATAAAACGAAAGGAAGGCTCCGTCAGCAGCACAGCACGTAGGCAGACACATGACAAATCACAGTCGAGACATGAGGAGCACTTCCTCATCTGCACAACTCGTGTCTTTATTCTTCCCCATGTTATTACATGTTAGTCCTCAAAGGAAAGAAGATTCATGTTATTGGCAGGTGTGAGGACAAGTGCCTACCAAGATTTTTGTTTTTTGCCACAGTCTTTGTAGTTTAATGCTGAAGATGGGGAATTCTAACCTCTACACGTCCAGAAACTGAATAGTGTTTTTCTTTAGTTTATTTATGTGCAAGGCAGCATCAGGAGGTGCAGAAGCTGTAATCTAATTTATGTACTGTCGCGGCCTATTGTTTTAACTCTTTTTACGTTTAGCTGGGCTCCACCTCTTGACTCCCACATTTGAACAGTTTAAATCACAAAACTACACCTGATGATTCTGTTGCCTTCATTTGGCTGATCTATTCAACTTTAAACCTGATAAAGTGTTTCTAAGTTTAATGTGGAGTCAAAAACAACCAATATCCTGTTACGCACATTTTCCTTCAAGTTTGCTGAAGAGACAGAGACTCAGTCACACACAGTCCTTCCTTCTGTCACAGCTTGTCATCGTCTGATCAGGTACAATAACCACCAAGTGCAATATCACATATTTCGCTCTTGTTATATTCTAGTTATTATTTATTAGGCTTTTTCCTAAAAAAACAAAACCAAGAACGGGACCTGAGTACAAATTTCATACCACTAACATGTGAATGTGAGCTGGCATGACAAATAAAGTTCCTTGAACAATAAATCCCCCCCAAATATTTACACAGACTATTATACTGCACAGCAATTCAATGCAAAAGAAAAGATTTATGTCTCCTCAATAAATTAAGAAATTGTGAGGATGTAATTTGCAATCAACACAGGAGAGTTAGCATCGATTGCTTAGAATATAACTAATTTCAGTGACTAATAAATAGAGCCAATGTTCCATTTTTAACATAAAACTACCAACAAAAAAAAAATATAAACACTCTTTTTCCAACCAAGTACGTGAACAGGAACGTGATAACAGCAGCGTGCGACACTGTTTTCAAGGGTTTCGAACAAGTGTTTCTACATAGAACATCAGATGTTACAGTATTTTTAAATGTTGGTTATTGTGACAGCACGAGTGTGCAGCGTGCCATACTTATACCACATAAGTGTTTGTGTTGCCTTTCATTGTGTAAATTAACAGTATTTTATTTTAGTGCCTATATTGTAATTCTGCTTCAATCAATGCGTTCTGTTGTGTTCTTCCAGAAAAACTGATAGTGTGCATCACCCAGACTGGGCCGTCCCTGCCCTACCACTGCTACTGAGGGGAGATGTTCCAGATCCACAGACTCTCTCCCCCCTTCTCTCTCTCTCTCTCTCCCCTCCTCCTCTCCTTCTCTCTCTCTCTCTCTCTCTCTCTCTCTATCACCACACAGATGGGATCAAAAGATGAGGGTCGGCATCCAAAGAAAAAGTGGTCGTGTTGCAGACATGCAACACACACATACAGACACACACCTACTTTTTACGAATTCATTCAACTGTAGCAACAGAAAAATATATTCCGTTTATAAATTATAATTCTTCTGTAAAGGCAATCACCTTTGTTGACAATCATTTGATTCTGGTGTTACTCTTTTTTTTTATTTTTATTTTATTTTTCTTGCTGTTGTCAACATTTTAGGTCAATTTTTTGTCATGGTCCACATGTTGCTGCCAACACCCGCATCCTGATGATGAATTTGTATTTAGACTTCTATGTAGGGTATATACTGTATATATAAAGAAAATGGGATGACTGCAGTAGTTTTGGCTCATTAATTTAAAATTGTCCCTTTTACTGGGATTGTTGGGAGGTTGAGACACACCGACAAAGCGCCCTGTAGATTTGAGAATGTTGTTTATATAGGAGTTATTTTCCTGTCTAGAGTTATTTTCTCTCAGTTGGGATGAGCACAGGTGTAGACAAGAAAGGGCAGGTGTGTGTATATTTGTCATACAGTAAACCTGTGGCCGTGTGTGTGTGAGCGTGTGCGTGTGGAAAATGATTATGGACCTTTTTTGAGCGACTGTTGTTTTTGTGTGTGCACGGACCCATAAGACGCCACATGTTCATTATTCCATCAGTCATGCTGTCTGTTTTTATTGTGTGCCCCTCTCCCTGTGACTTTTTATTTTATTAGTTTGTAATGTACTGACTGCCTCTTTTTGTGTTTGATACTTTAATTTCAGATTTGTTTTTTTTTGTTTGTTTGTTTGTTTTTTAACTCCCCAAACTGGAAGAAATGACAGCTGCTTAGTTCTGACATTTCTGTTTGGATTTAGTCCGCCAGACCAGTGCAACACACCAACCCTGGTACTGAGATGTGAAGCTGTGGACAAACACTACTAAACCACTAAGATATGTTGACATACGGCTTCAGAAACTGACTATGAACACTATAGACACAACCTAATCAACATTTTATTTTTTACATGAACAGGAGGGACTCTCTGGAATAATTATCTGCACTCTAAGTCTGAATTCTCTCTAAAAAAAAATTGTTACGCAGCAATTCATACATGCACATCTGCATTCATTTTGCGCCGCTGTACACAAGAGCCCATAAATTTGGGAGACTTCTTCACTCAGAGGAGACTCGAGTTTTAACGAGACAGACTGGGGGAGAGACACTGACGTTTAATTTAACTTGGGAGGTGGACAAAAAGCACATTTTGGTCCATTTGTTTTTACCTTTTTTTTTTTTTCGTCGTCGTATTTTCTTCCTTCTGTGTCTGGTTTGTTTGTATTTTATTTCGGGGTTTGTATGTGAGGGAGTGGCGGGTGAGAGCATTATGCAATTTGTTCTACTTTTTAATCCCACTTTTACAGTTGACTTGTTTTAATGGCAAAAGAGACCAATCATCTTTGTTTTGTTTTTTTTTTTACTCTTCACACACATAGTATATTTGTACTGTTGCCTATCCATGTAAATTTATGATGTACCATTCATACCTGCCTTGGCTCTGAGAAGTTGCTTTTTTCAGTGAAGTATGTAACTGGTAATACTGTTGTTTGTTTTTTTTTATAAATAAAGATCTTTTCTTAGACAAGATCTGGCAGCGTGTGATTGATGTGCTGAGGTGAGGAAGGAGTTGTATATCATGTAGATAAACACGTCTAATTAAAGAGAGGCAGTCTGTCTATCAGTGTAATTTAATCCACTCTGTTGTTAAGAGAAATGGCAAACGCTCAAACTTGACACCATGTTTGATATTCATTCTCCTGCATAAGTACGGCTTTGTTAATGCAATAATCCAGACTTGCTATCTGTGAAATCATTTGTGCCTCCAAGACCTTTTTTAGACTTGATACAAACACCCATCTCCAAGCGTAAGACCTCAAACTGTGCTCTGGTCTGAATAAAGCCGATTTAATTTTCGAGCACAGCGTGCACCGCGGCACAGCTAAAGACGGTTAAGTGTTGACATTCTCGGCTTTGCTGTCGTCTCCGGTTACACACAGAGCTGGATGTTGACAGCGAATAGTGTTGTGTTGCTTGCGTGTTTGTTTGTGGGGCTCGAGACATGTCAAAAGAACACGCAAGGGTGGGTTGAGGACGTGAAAGTGTGTTGGCGTTTTCAGTATGCAGCACATCTGAAATGCATCCCAGACAGACTGAGAAGCAGCTGTTGGATCACGAGGGCATTAGGTGCATGTTGGAGTGTGAAAGTATGACATTAGTCAGGCTATGATGTGTATGTGTCAGCCTGAGACCAAAATTAACCTCTAAATTTTCTGTAAAGGAGGCAGAAGCATTACTAGGAGTTCACATTCTTCCTTTTAAAGGCGTTCACACGTTCATAGATGGTGGTGATAACCCAAATTTTACAGCAATGAATAGTTATTGTCATCTGGTAATCTTTATATTATTTTTGATTATTAATTCTACCAAATGTCACATTGTGAAAAAAAAAAGTCAAGCATTGAGAGTAAGGGGTTTCACATCTGTATACACGTTTACCTTTATGATTTTTTACCTTTTTTGCATTTTTATAAAGATTTCACTTCCAAAGTGGTGAATGATGAGTCTTGTTTTCAAGGAAATACATCCTGTCATGTTTTTCCACACATGCCTTAAACTTTTTGTCTCTATACTGAGCTACATCATAAACCAAAGAGGTGATTTTACATACGAAAACTGTTACTTTGGAAGAAATCCATTCATTGTAACTTCCTTTAAACTGTATTTTTACAGAATGAGGACTTGACCCTGACCATTTATCACAACGAAGCAATTACAGCAACAAGACACCCCTGAAATATACAATCGAGTATGTGAGCTCCAAGACATACCTGAAAAAAATATTTTTTGTCCTTTAGACAGTCAGCTCTTTAATATTTCTCCTCGAGATTTATTATTGCCTCAAACTGGGAAATACAATTTAAAGAAAATTTAACTGAACAGTTGATTTAAGGAGGAAAAAAATGAAATACTTAAGTAATAGGATAAAAACCTCACTGCTGTCCCATTACGACGTGAACTCCAAAGTTTATGTGGTACCTGCTGGAATACGCTACACAGAAACATGAATGGTTTTGTCCTCCAGACTACCAGCAGATATCTGACTCATTAGTGCGTTAGTCATCCAGTGTGTGTAATGGTTGTAACCTGTGCAGCTGGTAAACACACACACACACACCCCTCCTTAAACCTGAGACCACCGAATGCAGCAGATTCTCCCGCCCTCCCTCTCGCTGTCGGGGTGTCCAGTCATTTGGTGTCACATCTATTTAGGGCTGCGCTGCTGTTCTTCATTTCCTCTCTCTAAAGCTCAAATAGAAGTAGGGTCATTTAACTCCAGCGAACTGAGGGAAAACTACCGGTCGAGACGGAGGAATAAAACGCATGGTCAGACAGGAGTGAGGAATTTAGCACTGGGACACAACCGAGCATGAGAAGGTAGGGAAACCACACCGCTGGGGCCTCACATGTGACTTCATACTTCCAACTGTATGATCCCTCGAGCTGATTTGCAAAGGAAAGTTGAGCACAAACAGATTGAGCTGTGTTTTTTGCAGCGGAGCTCATGGATTCAGAACCTAGTCCGTCCACCTCGCGCTCAGATGACGAGTCCTCTGATCGCACCCCGGCCCCGGATTCTTCCCGACACACCAGCCACACTGGCAAGCAGAGCAGTCTGAGCGGCCTGGGCTACGGGCTCGTGGTGGCCTGGCAGCAGCTGAGGCCTTTCATTCCCTTCTTCCTCATCAGCTTCATGATCGTGGGCCTCGTCTACCTGATGCAGGCCATCATCTACGGGGGACCCTTCAAGGACCCGCTCTTCTTTGTCAAATTTAACGAACGCTGGCCCCGGCCAACTCCGAAGCAACACAACTCTCCATCTCCTACTAAGTTTTTCAGCCCGATGCCCACCTCAACATTGGAACAGCTCCTCGTTGAGCTGCACAGAGACAACGAGACTGTGTGAACTGGAGGAGCCTGTTCCTTTTCCCTGTGAATATACAATACTTTCATGGAATTACATCAGGTCTCAGATTAAGAGAGCCCAGACTGATATGTGACTACTTCCACCCTACTGTACTCACCTTTCCACCAGACGCCCAGTTATATTACAGGTTGTGAAACAGCATGTATTACTGGGTAAAGATGGATTTTTTTTTTTACAAAGTGTGCAACTGAGTCAGATGCTTCTCAAATCAAGGACAAGAAACTTCAATCAATCAATGTGCTCCAGTCCTGCTTTCTTGCATGAAACATAGAAGACTGGTCATGTAAGATTTTTTAACTGCACTGCAAGTTATAAGTTTGTCTCTGTAGATGCTTCTGTGGCCTTTGAAGATGAAAATGTGCCTGATATATACAGCCAAGCACTGATGATATGCATTTCTGTCTGTGACAGCTGATGTTAACTCTTGAGCAAACACTTAAAAAGTCTTAAGTTGAGCAGAAATGTTCCAGTGTCACAGTATTTTAGCAGTGAACTTATCCTTTAACCTTTAATCAATGAAGACCACATTGAAAACAGCAGAACACAATGTCCCACTTTGTTTCTTCTCTCACCATCTCAGTGCAATTCCTTTAATGTACCATAACGTATATAGAAACCATCTCCCATAAGCAGACTGGCATGTAACATATCATAAAACTGGTTAAGATGCTTGTGATACTGTATCTTATTTCATCTGTTCGCTTCACCTCTCACACCTCTGCAGTCTAACACGAGGACATTTTGATGTAAATGCATGCCATATATGCTAATTGTTGCCTTCATCATAATCATGTATTTCTATATTAATACTCAAAAAGGGAGGCTGGTGGAGACGAGCAGACTGTGTAAAAACTAATACGGCTTAGATGTGGATAAAAATAACATCTTGTTAACTTGTTTATTCATGTCACCCGTGGTGTCCAATCATTAAAATGCTTGTATCTCAAATCAGAGTGTGACAGAGTTGAGAGGTGACTATTATGTTTAATTGAGTCCCTGCATGGAGAGTCTCTGCAGCTGCAGCAGTGGGCCATTTATAGTGTGAAAACACACTCCACTATAGATTAATGGTTAGACCATTAATGGAGAGACCAAATTGCCATATTTACGTCATGTAATAACAGCTGAAGTATCTCAGTGACGGCTGAGAAAAATCTGCTGATGAGGGTCATGACATGTGGTTGAAAACACAGATAATTATCATTACCTTATTTAAAAGTTCTAGTAAGGAGAGTTTGCTTGTATCTCTCTCTCTCTCTGTTTTTATTTTTTTCATTTTTACAAACAGAATAAAAGTTTCCCAATAGAGATAGTGTTTAAAAGATTCTTTGGTCTCTCTGCTGTAATTTGGTCCAGATTTGATATGTCTAAGTATAGCAGTTTCCAGTCTGGATTTGGTCTCATGTGGTCCAAATATAAGAAAAAACAAAAGAAAACAACAACTGTAAAATCTGCTCTCTTTTATGTTTTTGCATTTTCACAAATAGAAATAAGGTTTCACAAACCAGAGACTACGTTTTACAGATGCTTTGGCCTCTCTGGGGTCTGCTCTAATGTGGTTTTTACTTTTTTTTTCTCCACATTGTTACAAACAGAATGAAGGTTTCACAAACCGGAGAGTGTGTTTTAAAGATACCTTAGCTTTTCTTGGATAATTAAAGTCAGACTTGGCCAACCTATATATATATATATGGGTTTTAGATGTGCATCTGGTCTAATGTGGTGTTGATGTGGGAAAGAAAAAAAAAAGTGAGTGTTTCTTGTTTTTGCATTGTTACAAACAGAACAAAGAGTATGAACGTTTCACAAATAAGAGACTGTGTTTTAAATGTTCTTTAGCCTGTCTCCAATAACCTAATCCAGATATGATTTGTGAGTATAGTGGTTTTAGATCTGGACCTGATCTAATGTGTTCGAGGTAAGAAAAAAAGCTGTGAAATCTCCTTTTTTGTTATTATTGTTTTTTTAAATTTTTATCTTTTGCACAATCACACAGAATAAATCAGTGTTTTATATCCTATATCCTTTAAATCCTTTAGCCTCTCTGGCATCCTTAAATTCAGATTTGACCAGGTCCAGATTTATAGACTGGTCAAATATGAATGTGGTGCAGATGCGATATGTATTTTGACACAAGAAGGATTTCACAAATTTGATTTCAGACACCATGGAGGGTTGATCCTAAAGGTCTGACACTGACCTGGAGCATTAAAATTCAGCAGAAAACAGAGAATCAGTCGTTTGTCACTGTAAATTAAGTTTTCTTTAACTGTCCACTAAGTTGGAGCTCACCTTACCATGGGAATCTCCTATGTCAGCAATGAATCCTCTTCATTTGACCCCAGAGTTTATGATTTTAACCTCTAACTTCATGGTTTTAACGCTGTTTCTGTGGTTGTCTGCCGCCTGTCTGCTCTCTGCTGCGGCCGTGTGGCGCCGCCGCTGCCGCCTCCTGGTGGCGGAGCGACGAACTACACCGCACCGTCCCGCCGATGACCACGCTGACCTGTGGTTGACCTCAATAAACTGGACAGAAAAACTGAAAAAAAAGATTCCCAACAACGTAGTTTATATTTATCTACATATATATTTTCAAGCGAAC